TTTTTTTTTTTGGTTTTGGTTTTTCTCTGGTACCAGGAACCGAACTCACGACCTTGCGCTTGCCAGGCAGGCGCTTTTGCCGCTGAGCTAAATCCCCAGCCCCCACTGCAAGCATCTTAAGTGCACAGGGCAGTGCTGAGTGCCTTCACATCGCTGTGCCACCATCGTAAATGCCATGCCCTGAACTTGCTCATTTTTCCAAGGCAAGCTCTGCCCTCAGACCCACTGCCCATCCCCTGCTCAGTCCTTGCAAGCTCAGCTATCTTGAGACTTGACCCGTGTGCAGCACACACGGGATCCGCTCTGGGGACTGGCTCTTGCCAGTCAGTGAGCATCCCTGAGGTTCATCCATGTTCCTGTGTGTGGCAGGATTGCTGTCCTTTTTGAAGGCTGAATAGTATTCCATAGTTTGTACACAGCCACCAATGTTTATGAGAAGTGCCTTCTGGAAATGTAGTAAAAGGCATTTTCTCTCCAACAGCACTCCTGGGGCCTGCTTCAGGAAGGTGAGCTTTCTTTCAGTACTGTTGTCTAACGCGTAGGAACTGGTGAGAACGTCTGAACACAGCTCCCTTGTGCTGCCAGCCTGCAGTGGTGCTCAGTGCTGAGCTTGGGTGACCTGGTGCTCAGGTCCGAGAGAAGGCTTGGACCCTGCATGACCGCGCCACCCAGGCTCATGGCCAGTCTGCTGGGCAGCTGCACATGGGGGCCAGGAGTCCTCCAGGGTGCTCGTGCTCAGGGCAGCGGGCGCAGGCACTGCCAGCCCCCTCAGAGGTGCTGTGGCGGGGCAAGGCCGGCTGGTGCCCAACCCGTGTTGCAGATAGAAAACCCAGGGCACCGTGAGAAGCTCGGCTGCTTCGCCTGCTGCGTGTGGGCATCCGGGGCACAGCAGCCAAGCCAGGGGCAGTGAGCAGGACAGCGCCCCAGATGTGGCCGCCCGGCCGCCGCTGGCCCTGCAGTCCTGCTTGTGTGTGAGCAGCGGGCTTGGGTCCTGCCCACACCCACGGTGTCACCTCGCGGGGCGGCTGTCCCCTCCCTGCCTTGCTGGAGCCAGCAGCACTGTCTGCTGAGCGCCCCTGGGCACAGCCCGCCACCCTCGCCCAGACAGAGCTGCCGAGCAGGGCCCCGCCCTCCACGCCCTCTTACAGGGTCCCAGCGCCCCAGAACCCTGCCCTGTGCACAGCACACGAGGCCCGGTGTGCCCACACTGCCCGCCACGCCACGGGCACAGTTCAAGCTCCCTGCGGCAGAACACTCCCTGCAGCCAGGACACCTGCTTTGCCCGAGGCAGCCCGAGGCGGCCCAGTGCCACCTCCTAGTCACTCACCGTAGAACCAGGCCACCCCAATGGCCTCAATGAGCACCCCAAAGAGAATGGACGTGCCGGCTGCAAAGTGGTCCAGCAGTGTGAAGACGTAGATGCCCCCCTGGAAGAGAGCGGGCCGGCTGAACTCGGCTGGCTGCAAAGGCTTCTCCTGAAGGCCCAGCCACAGATGCGCTCTGCAGGTGCCGAGCCCGGAGACTGTGCCGTGGGTCACACCCACCCACCTGCCGCTCGGAGGGAACGCCTGGCTGCTGCTCCTCCCCTCCTGAGTCCCAGGTGTGCCTTGAGGCAGCGGCCTCCACAGGCCCAACACGGTGACCCTGGCCGCCCTGGGGGGGACGCCCCTGCAGGTGCCCCCCAGGCTGCACCTCCCGCTCCCGGTTCCCCTGGCTTCTGCTGCAGAGCTGCCCATCCCATGGGGCCCGGATGCCAGCAGGTGGCAGTGCCTACGTTGGTGACGCAGAAGAGCGACAGCAGGAAGGTGCCCAGCACGATGCACAGCGTGAAGAGCTCCCGGTGCCGGTGCAGCAGCTGGAACTCGTCGATGAGGCCCGTGATCACAGACTCCATGCCGCCCATCTGCGGGCACAACACGGAGCTCGCACCTACCTGTCACCCGGAGGCCACACTCTGCAGTGGAGCCCACACACCTGCTCCTGGACAGCCCGACTCATGCTCGGGGATCTGTGTGCCCCGTGAAATCAGTGCACGGGCCACCCTCCCGGGTGCGGAGGAACAGGGACATGGAAGGCTCTGATCCACCCAGCAGGCTGTCCCCAGGAGGTGGGGTGTCACGATGGAGCCCCTGCTCCTGCAGATATGGGTTCTCAGTCACACTCCAGGAAGCGTGCCCTGAGCAGGTGGGCAGAGACATGGAGGCCACGTGGCCCCTGGCCAGTCCCGCTGCCCAGGGCTCAGTGGGGGTGGCACCAATGGGGAGGACAGTGGCCCGGGCACCATGGTGGCACCGAGATAGCCAGACTAGGTCAGTGCTCACACGGGGGTCTAGGCCCCCAGGAGGTGCCATGCTGTGTGATCCCACGGGAAGTCACCGTCACTCCGAGCCCAGCTCTGACACTGCACTGTCCAGGCGCAGAGAGGGCAGGCTCAGCTCTGGTCAGCAGCCACCCTGGCCCCGAGAGGGTCTTGCCGGGCCCCGGCCCATACTCACAGCGCTGTCGAGCCCCAGGGTGAGCAGCATGATGAAGAAGACCACCGCCCAGGCCGAGGACAGCGGGAGTGTGGCGATCGCCTCGGGGTAGATGATGAAGATCAGCCCCGGGCCTGCGATCAGAACCCGCTGTGTGACAGAGGCTCCTGCTCCCCACCCTCGAGGCCGGCTCAGCCGGGGGCGCCTGGCCGGCCCCACAGGAGCCCCTCACCCTTCTCCCACCTCTCGGTGCCTGAGGCTCAGAGAACACCCGCCCCAGCCATGCAGGCGCCTGCTTGTTCCCAGCCCGGCAGCCTCGCTGCGACTCATTTGTGCCCACACCAGGCCACGGGGCACTGGGAAGGGCAAAGGTCAAGACAGGGACCGGAAATGGGAGGACCGGAGAGGTTTCTGGAGCGGCCCTGGGTCCCCGATAAGGTGATGGCCTTGTTCTAGTTGGGGCTGCTGGGCAGGTCTCGTGAGTGTGCACACACACATGTGCAAGCGTGCACTGGCACAGTCACACATGCATGACTGCATCTTGGTCTGTGCACGTGTGTATGTGTGGCACACACCACTGCACACAGTCTTTTGAAAGAATCAAAGACAACAAGGTGGCCACAGCTCCACGGGGTCCTAGAGCCAGCCAGGCAGTGGGGTAGGACCCAGGCGCTCTGGAGTCCCCAAGATGCCCGGCACTGCAGCCGGGCTGGGGACGCAGGCTCTCTGAGACTCTGAAGCTTAAGTGCCGCAAGCTGTGAGCCTGGGAAGCCTCCCCCTGCTCGGTGGAGGTGAAGGCAGCAGCCAGCCTTTGCTCCCTGCACCCGAGCCGACATTTCACCTGTGGTCTGCGTCCCGGGGCGCCAATGACATTTACTTTGCCTGCTAGGAAACACGTGGAGGACGCTGCCCCACTTGTAGGGGCCGATGGGTTTTCAGGGCGACCGCTGCTTAGCATAATAAAGGGCAGGGAGCCACAGTAAGTAAATTTCACCTCTGGGTTGATTTGCATTCTGCTTCCTTTCCCACCTTCACTGGATCTGTCTGGAGGGGAGAGCCCAGGCTCAGGGACCCCGAGAGGGTCACCCCAGCCCAGCTCTCTCCTGCAGGCCCAGCCTGCGCCCTCCTTGCAGAGTGAGGCCTTTGTGCTCAGCTCTCCGGGAGCTGCAGGGGGATCAAGGGAGACCCCCCAGACACTGGTGCATGGGTGACAGGGTCCACAGCTCCCCACAAGCCCTTCCCACACGTCAGACCCAGGAAGAGCTCGGTCAGCAGCGACCCCAGCTGGACATCAGCTCCCGAAGCGATGAGGGACAGAAGCCCCATCTCTGGAGGCAGAGGGTTCATCTCGGGCCCGGCCCCCAGTCACCGGGCCACGGCCACCCTGTCTCCCAGGGCTGACGTCAGGGTGGCACGGGGTGTGTGGGGCTCACCATCCTTGGCCACTTCCCCGATGGGCACGCTGTGCTTCTGGGCCATGTACCCCAGGAAGGAGAAGACCACGAAGCCCGAGGAGAAGCTGGTCAGGGAGTTGATGGAGGTGGTGAGGATCGCATCTCTGCAAGACAAGACCAGCATGCTGGCACTGTGGGTGTGACCCTCGAGACCTCCTGCCCAGTTGTTGCTCTTACATTGCTGCATCTGGGGCTCGGAGGAGGTCTGGGGGGCTGACTTCCTGGATACAGACAGGTGGTCACCATTCTGCTGCCTGGCCTGGGGCCCCCTGGGCTCCTGGTTCTAGGGTGTAGTCAGAGCTCAGGGTGGGCCAGGCGCCCGAGGCCTGTGGGTAGGGCTCCTGACACCCTGGGAGGGCTCCAGGGGCTGAAGTGCGAGTCCCACGCTCACCCGGGCTGTGGGGACCCCACTTGGGGCTGGGAAACTGAGGTTCAGGGGCAAGGGGGGCCTGGGGTGCAGGGGACCCTCTGGAGGTCACTGCCCTCCTGGTTTCCCGGGTGGCCAGCTGCAGCTGAAGGGCTGCGCACGCCATCCGCAGATTGGCGGACCCAAGTGGACACAGGCAGGCTCGGGCAGGGCGATCTGAGGCCTGAACCCTCTGTCCTCCCACAGGGAACCTGCAGCGGCTCGACGTTTTGTTGTGTGCTGTCTTTATTTTTAGTGCATCTTTATCCCCAGGATGTGAGAGTAAACACAAGCCCGCAAAGGTCAAAGAAAGCAGGTCTCAGATTTAATTTGGTCCTGTTTTAGGAGGATTTGGGTCCAGCTTGAGGCTGCGGGTAAAGCAGGTCCTCCAGAACCCGGTGGTGTGCACGCCCAAGTGCGTGGGGGTGAAGCCAGCCCCCGGGTAAGAGCTGTGCTTCTGGGGTGGCCAGCGTGGGAGGGAAGAGGGCTGTCACATGGGCCCCCCACTGCACAGCCCCCAGGAAGGCCCCTCTGGGAGGACACACACATCTGCATGAGGTTCAGTGGCTTCCTTAAGGCGAGGAGGACTTCACTGGGAGCCGCCTGGCCGCAGGCTCAAGGTTTTGCAAGCTTTTCTCCACGCTGGGAGGTGCATCTTACCGATAGCAGTTGTTGGTGAACTTGTTGTAGCTGGAGAAAGCGATCAGCACCCCAAACCCCACACCCAGGGAGAAGCACACCTGGGTGGCAGCATCAATCCACACCTGCGAGCCAGGGGAGGGGTTGCTGGGTTAGAGGGGCCTATGGGACTCCAGACAGGCGACCTCCCCTGGGAGCTGCCCTGCACCCCTTCCCACCCTTGGGCTCAGGAACACCTCAGAGCCAGCGCAGATCAGTGGCACATGCCAAGGGGGCGGTGTCTGGATCTCCTGGCTGTCAGGGCTCACAGCCTGTGCCTACATGACCCTCCCACAGCATCAGTGCCTGCTCCATGGGAGCCCTGACCCTGCTCAGCCTCCTCCCCAGGACCTCCCGCAACTGGGAGTACAGCCGGCACAGGGCAGCCTTTGGAGCCTGAGGCAGACCACACATAGACCCATGGCTCAAGTGTGTGTGGCTGCAACTGCACCAATGTGGCATTAAAATCTCAGACATGCCAGCTGTCACCCAGCTGCTCAGGAGGCTGAGGCAGGAGGACTGCAAGTCAGCTCGGGTGGGCGGTATGCAGGCCACAGTCAGCCCGAGGCTGCAGAGCTCACTTGAGGGCACACTCACTGAGGCCTCGCAGAGCCGGTAGAAGTCCACACTCAGGTAGGCCCGGATGCCATCGATGGCCCCCGGGAGGGTGAGCCCGCGCAGGAGCAGGGCGGTGAGGACCACGTAGGGCATGGTGGCTGTGATCCACACGACCTGCAGGAGAGGACGGAGTCACTAGGCGCTGGCTGGCAAGGCGGGCCGGGCCTCGTGGTCCCAGGCAGAAGTCCACAGGAACCGCCTCATGGCAGGGCAGGCAGCAGTGCCCTCTGCTGGGGCAGCAGCGTTGACCGCCAGGCTGGAGTGGGAGCAGCCAGTGTCTCCTGTGCTGCAGGCTCCCGAGCTGAGCTGGGCGGGAAGAAGGTGGACATGGCCAGGAGGGGCGGGGCTGTGGTGTGGGACCCGACCTGGCCGTGCACGCACCACCTCGGTGGTGAAGGGGGACTGCGGTGTGGGCGGAGGGAAAGGCAGCCTGGGCTCGTGCGTGACACGACGGACCCGGGGGTCATTTTGGTGAAAGCAGCTCTGGGCGCCCTTGTGATGCCCAAATACTCTCATCAGGAACAGGGGAGAGCCTGCCGCTCCACCCTCCTCTGTACACGCCTTGCTACGGGCGACCTCTGCCCAGACGCCGGCCAGGCACAGCCAGCGTGACCAGCTCCTCACCTTGCCCGAGGTCTTCACGCCCTTCCACAGGCTGAAGTAGAGCAGCACGATGACCAGCACCAGGCAGGCCGTGAGCTGCCAGCGTGGCGGGCCCAGGTCGTCGATGCCGCGGCTCAGGTGCAGGTGCAGCACTCCACGCCTGTGGGGCGGGGCGGGGTCACACGGAGCCTGGCCTGCCCTCCTGCCCGTGGTGAGCCATGGCCCAGGGCCCACACAGGCTCAGGGTGCCAGGTGCTGGCCCACGCTGGCCCTCAGCAGCTGCTTTGGGAGCTGGAAGGAGGGGAACCTGGGCCTGTGAGGGAGGCCCAGGGCAGGCCTGGTGCCCACGGGTGGCCGGACTCTGAGCATCGACGCAGCCGACATGCGGGTCCTGTGCTCTCTGAGGGTGATGCCTGACTCCCGCCGCTGTGAAGACCGGACTTGGGACGGTGCGCCCCAGGTGGCCAGAGCCACACACCATTCTGCATGTCCTTCCCAGGGAACTGTCCCCAGGGCAGAGGGCAAGGCCACGTGCAGAGGAGATGGGACGCAGCGGGTGCACAGGCCTGGGCACTCCCCGCACAGCAGCTCCCCAGATTCCCGGCCTGCAGGAAGCCGCGGGAAAAGCACTACCCCTTCTACCGTGCCCTGCCTGGGAAACTGGGGAGCTCCCTGGAAATGGATCGCGGCCCACCCGGCTTCCAACAGGCCTTGGGCCACATGGAGAAATCTGGCCCTTTGGGCTCTAGCATCGCAGCCAGGGCAGAGTCCTGGGAAGGAGGGGCGGCTGGAGAGAGTCCCTGTAACCTGCACACTGGCCACAGGGTTGCACTGAGCGCAGGACACAGCCTCAGGGGACCAGAGCCTGGGCCGGGGCCACCGCACAGCTGGGGGACCGGATCACAATGAGCAGGGCCGTCTGGCTGTGGTCACTGCCAGCCGGGTGGCAAAGGCACCTGAGAGCCAGAAGGCACCTGACCACATCATCTCTCACCTGTAAAGTCTCATATTCCTAACGGAAAAGACCAAGCTCCAAACCACTGATGTGAAACCCACCAAGCCTAGCATCTAATACAAACTAGAGGGCACGACCAGAAGTAGGAAATGTGACCTGAATCCAGCAGGAAGATCGGCGAGTAGCCATTCTTTACCATATGCAAACATGAACTCAAAATGGCTAAGAGAGCTAAAGGTTGGGCTAAATCTCTCTGGGGAGAAGACACGGGGTAACTACACAAACTCAAATTTGACAATAGACTCTTAGGCATTGCATGAAGGGATAAGTAGGTAAATCTGACTTCATCAAATTTTAAAATGTGCAACACAGGACTCTATCCCCCAGGTGAAGGCACAGCCTCAGAAGGAAACTGGAAGACGGGTGCCAGGTAGCGCAGGAGAAGGGATCGAAGGAGACAGCAAGGAGCAAGGGAGAGGGTGCGCCAGCCACAGGGGCAGTAAGGGGAGATGTAAGCCCAGTCGCACGGGCCAGTCCCGTATCGAAATCCAAGTCACAGGACAGAGACAGCCTGTGCACTCAGAAGCAAGGGCCACACCCGGGCCGCTACCTGAAGCCTACGTTAACGACCACACGGGTTAACAATGAAAGCCTGGGAGAGATGCACCGCCCAGCACCAGTCCTGAGGAGAACGAGGCACCACCCCGCCATCAGAGGAGCAGACTTCCGGAGGAGGCATGCAGCAACAGGGACTCCCGAAAGAGTGCCCACACACACTCCTCCCATCAGAGCTGCAAATCACAGAGAAAAAACCCGATGGAAACAGACAGAACCCAGGACTGCAACTGAGATTTGAATATCCCTCCCTCAGTAACTAAGACAAGTACAGAGAAAGTCACTAAGGCTGTCGACACCTCCACACTGAGCACGACCCAGTGGGCACTACAATGCTCTGTCCGACAGCAGCAGCACGGTGCGTGACTTTTTAAAAAAATTGGATCGTACTGTTTCCCACTGTTTGGCCTCTGATTCCTGGCCTCAAGTGATCTTCCTGCCTCGGTCTCCTGAGTGCTGGCATGGCAGACGGCAGCACCAGGCCTAGCAAGAAGCACATTCTTTTTAAGTACACATGAAACCTTCACTGTTGTATACCATAGACTGAGCCACAAAACAAATCTTTTCTTTTTGTTTTTGAGACAGGGTCTTGCTAGGTAGTTCTTGCTAGGTAGTTGCAGCAATCCTGCCTCAGCCTCCTGAGCATTGGGATTATAGGTACGTGCCACTATGCCCAGCCAAGAATCCCTTCAATTGAATGAAAATAAAAATACTTATCAATTTACTGAGGTGCAGCCAGTGTAGTACCACAGAGGTAAATTGTTAGCTTTCAAGCTATGACTTTCTAATTGACTTTAGCAAGCAGTGCAGGTTGAGTGTGTGCAAGTGTGTGTGCAAGTGAGGACACTCTAAACTTCCAGGAAGTGTCACTTCCCGGGCCCATGTCTCCCCTCCATGGAGTGGATCACAATGACCTGCACAACTCACAGTGAGCCCACGGTCCCTGCCCTCGGCCTCAGTGGACACTGACCAGGAGTGGAAGCTGGAGAGGTGCCAGCCAGAGCAAGGGAGAAAGAGAGGGGGGCACACGCGTAAGGTTTGGCTCCTTTGGACACGAAGCCCTGAGCCCGGCGGAGCTCCCTGAGGGCCTGGTGCTGCCTGGTTGCTAGGGCCCCTCAGAGGACCCCCCTGTTCTCTGCAGGAGAGATCTGGGTCCCTGTCTGGTGGCAGCAGGACAGTGGCTGGGACGCCTGGCTGGCGCAGCGAGCATCGGTGGTCCTGCTCTGTGCCAGTACAGGCGGACGCGGGTGGCTGAGCCCTGCCCGCCATGCAGCTGGGCCTGGGAGGCCCCGACACTGGGCAGCTCATTCGGTGCCTTGGTAGGCGGACCAGCACTCGCTCGCTCAGCACCAGGGCCTGGCCGCTCCTGCCCAAGGCACCAGGTTGGCCTGGACGTGTCCCTCTCCAGTCTGCAGCTCAGCGTTAGATCCAGCGCTGCACGATTTACGCACTGTGTGGGGACTGCGGGGGGACACGGACACCTCCTGACAGGACGTCCCACCCTACTGCCGAGTGCTAGTGTGACCTTTATGCCTCTCTGGTGGGACAGGGCTCCCGAAGGGTGCACCTGCGGAACCTGCCATCCCTGCCACCAAGACCTGCATGACAAGGGGGGCGTGAACTCCAGACCCCGTGGACCTGAGGGTGCAGGGCTGCCTTGAGGGGGCCTGGCCCTGCACTAGGGACACCACACCTGACACTGCCCCGCCCCCGTCCCAGGTGCTTCTAGACTCACGGACCTGCTGGGCCACAGGTCTCCAGGCGCGAGGGCTCGGGGACCTCTCATGTTCAGAAGACAGCTTCATTCTGTCCTCTAGAATCCTGCATCATCGATCACCAGACCAAGCCCTCTTCTCTCTTGTCCTCTTTTCTGAAAGTCACCTGGATGAATCAAAGGTCTGTACTCCTACCAGAAGGAAGACGACGTTTCAAATTGCACAAAATCCCCAGGAAAATCAGAAAGACACACGAGCCAGAAGCCCTTCCCAGCTTTCGCCTGTGCAGTAAGTCAAACCCACTCAAGCACAAGCCGACTCTGGTGTCGAGCAGCCCACAGGCTTCTGCCCACAGGGCCCTGCAGCGCCCACTCTGAGCACACACTGTCCCTGGTCCTTCCTCTGGCCACATGCGGCCGCGGTTGGCTCACTCGGCAAGCGTACTGCAGTCAGACCCGCTCCCTCTGTCAGTTTCACGTCTGGGAAATGCAGCAATGACATCCTCCCCAAGACTGTGCTGAGACCACAGAGAGGGCGGGGCTGTCCTTCACTTGGGGCGCCTGTGTGTTTCTTCTCTGCCGTCACACCGAGAGCCCTGCCCCACAGCCCAGCCTGCACCCCACTCTTCTGTGACTTCCCCACGCAGCCTAACAGTGACACACAGCCTGCGGTACCAGACCCACTCGCCTTTGACTCCGGGACCATCTCACCTCAGAGGGACAGTCCGTCCCGCTAGGCCATCAGTGCATTCCTGCCCAGAAACACAAGTGCGAACTCTGCAGCTCGTGGAGCAGCACGGTCCACACGAAACCCCAGACACGCTGCAATTGCTTCGGCCCCGTCCCTCGAGGCCAACGCCAAAACTGCGACTTTCGAGGACCCCGTTCAGTGAGAAATGCCAACCCAGCCCAGAGCCGGCACACGCGCCCTCACACTCTGCACTCACCACCCCATTACCACAACTCTGGCTGGAAACCATGCTTCTTCCACACACGTGGACCCCAAGCAGGGGCGGGGACAGTGGGCCCCAGGGTCCTTCCCGACTGGCCCTGGCGACGGTGGTGGGGATGCAGGGGCTGACGTGGACAGCAGACCCAGAGGAAAGCGTCCCAGGGGAAGGCCCGGCCTGCCAAGGGATCCGAGCGGCGCAGGATCCTGGGGAGCTCAGGCCGTGGGGGCGTGTAGGTGGGAAAGCAACAGTGGAGGAAATGAAACCGTGTGTGTGAGACAGCAGATCCCTCGCACCCACGGCCAGCCTGTCTGAGGAGTGAGGGCTCCGTCGTGGTGCTCGTGGTGGGGGGCATCCCACATGCCCTTCTTCCTACAGCACGCGGTGTCCCCGGCACCCCAGCCTGCCCTGCAGCAGGAGCAGGACGGACAGTGAGGGGCTGCCGGTGTCTGCCTGCCTGGAGCTGGCTCTGCGGGACTCTGATGAACCGCACTGTCACCCTGGGCATCAGAGGTCCCCTCTCAGGCATGTGCAGGGCGCAGGAGGCAGGAAGGTAGCTGCACCCTCAGCAGTGCCCCCTACTTACTCGAAGTACTCAGCTGCAGGTGTGGTCCCAAAGGTGCTGTTGAGGCTGGCACCGTCACTGGCGTTGCCTGAGGGGGCATCGGAGCAGTTGGGGCTGTTCCAGGTGTTGTTGCAGTGGGTCCAGGGCAGCTCCACGGAGAAGGAGGAGAAGAGGTAGTGCAGTGCCCAGGCGATGATGACGTTGTAGAAGAAGCCCACGTAGAGCGAGATGAGGATGACCGTGAAGCCCACCCCTGGTGGGGATAGCACAGAGCCACCGTCAGTGAAGCCACTGCCAGCCGCTGTCCACGCCGCCTGGGGACACCTCCACCCAGCAGCCGCACACTGGCATCCCGGGTGCCAGGCAACTCCTCGACACGTGGAGGCTGTGCCTACTCCAGCCTGGACCACAGAGAAAGGGCTTCCCACCTCCAAGCATCCCTCCACCCAGAGGCATCAGGGCATCACTGGGGGACACCAGGGCCAGGGGAGCTGGTGCCCAGGGGAGGTGGTACACTCAGGTGTACCTCTAGGGACCCAGCAGCCAGCCAGGCACACACAGGATCATCAGGGGCCACCAAAGGCCACCCACAGCCACCCAGGCACACCAAGTCACCCACAGCCATACAGGGCCAGGAAGGACATACGGAGAGTAAGGGACATTCACTGCTATCACAGCCACTCAGGGGCACCTAGAACCACCTAGGGCCACTCTGGGTCACCCAGTCAACCCAACTGAGTGTCACCTAGGACTAATGGGGCCACATAAACCCACAAAGTCATCCACAGCCAACCTTGGCCACCGCAGTCAGCCAGGACCACTGAGGGACACCCATACCAGCAGAGCCATCAAAGGTGACCCTTTCACAACCACCAAAGCCATCAACAGTACTAAGGGACAACTGGGAGCTCCGTGACCATTCATAGCAACCTAGGCTCATTTGGGACCAAACTGCCCACAGTTTCCCAGGGATACAGGGCCACCAAGAGTCACAGGGCCTTTCACAATCATCTATGTCCTCCATAGGTTACAGGTTTTCCCAGGGCCGAGGTCATCCACTGCCATCCACAGCCCCAGACTAGTAGGATAAACAGAGTCATCTGAGGTCACTCACAGCCAGAGAGCTACTCAGGCCAGGCAAGATCATGTAGGATCTCTTGGGGTCATTTGTGACCACCCAGGCAGTTGGCAGGCTCTTCCCATTGGTCAAGGGACCCTCCTCACATGCTGCTGGACAAACACGCACGTAGTTGCCGCTGTGGTTCACCTGACTCAGCTCCACACAGAACCCTCTTCAGTGCAGCACCTCCTCTCAGCTTTGCAAGGTCTGAGCTACACCTTTAATCCACGTTAGTAAAACTCAGAGGCAGTCTGTCCTGTCTGCTGGTCTGGAGGAGGGAGTGGGGCAGGAGCATGTCTTTACGGGAACTTTTGCTTTTTATGGTCATAACCCTTAGGAGGAGCTGTTTTCATGCTCAAGGTAACTTACTAAAGTTCTCTTCCTATCTTGAAATTAAAATTTTTTTTTTTGTCTTTTTGAGACAAGGTCTCACTATGCAGTTCAGGCTGGCCTTGAGCTCACTTTGTAGCCCAGGCTTGTCTCGAACTCACAACAGTCCTCCTGCCTCAGCCTCCCGAGTGCTGGGATTATAGGTGTGTGCCACCACACGCAGCTTTGAAAAAAAAATTAAGAGCAAAAATGCACTACAATTTGTGTTAAACACAGGATTAGGCCTAAACATTCCCCTTGAAAAGTGTGCTCAGATGTAGGAATGACAAAACCAAAACTGTTTCCTTCCAAAGGGCTCCTCCAGTGAGAAACTGACCAACATCGGTTAATTCTATTTTGCAATTTTGTTCACTGAGCTCCTTAGGGGAAAGGCTGGGTTGTGATTTACAGAGAACTCACACATACAGCCATGTTGGGAAGCCATGTTATTGGGAAGCCATGTCGGGAAGCCACGTTATCAGGAAGCCACGTTGTCGGGAAGCCACGTTATCGGGAAGCCTTGTTGGGAAGCCACATAGTTGGGAAGCTGTGTTGTCAGAAAGCCTTGCTGTGGGAAACCATGTTGCTCCAAAGGGCACCATGGAAAGTTTTCCACGGCAGCCAGCCGACTGTGGATGTCCAGTCTGAAAACCGTTCAAGGTTAAAACTACACACCAAGTGTTTGGCTCGGAACTCTGGGAACTCGAAGCTTTGGGTCAAATGTACGAGTGGATCCAAGCCTGGAGACTGGAGGGAGGGCTGATTTTTCCCCAGTCCCTCTGGGGCCACTGCTGTGTGCAGGGTGCTCTTTTTGGCTTCACAAGAAAGCACGTCCACCCTGGCTGTGTGGCTCCCACAGTGGACGGTGCACGTGGCTGGCGATGCAGCACCATACAGCAGTCTCAGAGCCCTCTCTTGCACTGCCATCTCGGGGCCCCCAGTGCCTGGTGAAAAAACTGGGGAGCCGGGAAGGAGGTGCACGCGTTGGCCATGCATCTGGTCACTCTGAGCACTGCCCTCCAAGAAGGCAGAGACTCAGGAAGCCACCGGCCCGGGCCGTGAAGCACGACCTCTCACCAGCCCACCCTACATGGCCAAGCTACTCCTCAGGGTCACGCGAGACCCAGTGAGAGGCGTCCACTGCCCACGGGTTGTCAGACATTCCCACGACTGCCATCCATCACACCCCATCTGCTCTGCGTAAAGCTCCCTCGGTCGTCTCTCGCTTAGTGCTGTCTCTGCCACCACCCGTGAAATGTCCGCGGAAGCCCAGCACGGAGGTTCCTGTCCCAGGAAGCTCAGGGCTGGATGTGACCTTCAGGCAGCATGAGAGCTGTCAGTCTCCTTAAATACCTATTCTTCTCAGTATTTCCTTGATAACTAGGTGTATATTTTGCTTTTTCTTTAGACCATCTTAAATCCTTTTTTATTAGAATGGAGAGTTTCATAAGCCATGCTAAAATATTATTTACTACAGATTGTTATGAATTTTTATGTCCAATATAGCAGGGTGTGGGGTTTCTACTCTGGCACCTGCAAAATGGAGTTTGTCACCGGCAAACAAAGACCTAAAGGGAGCTTCCTGCTAGCATGGGCACCGGCGCCCTGCAGAGAACGCCCAGCACCTTCCCAGCACCCAGACTCAGCACCTCGCACACACCCACAAAGCGGCCATGGGGAGGGCACCTACACTCACCCCGGGACTATAGCCGGAACAGACGGCTGGTCTGACAGCAGCCTCCATGCCCTGCGAGAGCCTCGGGGCAGGGCTTGAGGAAGCAGGGCAAGCGAATGGATGATGGACAGGTAGATGACTGACCCATGATGAGTAGATGACAGAACAACAGACAGATGGGGGTTTAATCTTGTCTACCGTTTCAACACCCTGACCACAGACCATCACTGCTGAAGCAGGAGTGTCCCCTTCCCGGCGAGGGCACCCTCATATCCGGGTCAGGACCTATCCCTAAAGCAGGACTCTGGTTAGCACGGTGGTGCAGGTGCCTCCTGCCTTCGCCAGCAGGACTGTGTGCACGCTCCGAGGCCCACCTGCCCACAGCCCAGGGTGTGCCTTACCCTTCAGGATGGGGCAGATCTTCCAGACGCCAGCGGCCCCCTCCCTGTTGAACTGCCCCAGGGCCAGCTCCATGTAGAACAGGGGCATCCCGGCGATCACCATGAAGAGCAGGTAGGGTACCAGGAAGGCTCCTGCGGGCAGACGGCACCTTGAACGTGGGGCTGCAGGGGGCAGGGTCACCTCCTGAGCTGGGCCTCTGCTGCCTCTGAGGGGTGTGGCCCTCTTCTCCAGGAGGAAGTCCCCAGCTGGCGTGCCTACCCTCTCCAGGCTGTGTCCTGTGGTGTCTGCACCCCACACGCCCTCCTGACACTGCTGCTCACCCCCTTCTGGGGCCCTCAGACCCCGCCAGGGGCGAGGCCCCGCCCACCCAGCTGCACTGGTTCCTTCCTGCTCACCCTGAGCTGGTGATCAGCCCTCCCCGCGGGTTCCCACATTCACAGCCTGCCTCCCCTACAGCCTCGGCTGGGGTCCAGGGCTGGCAGGAGCTATGGACAGGACTCCCAAGTCCCTCTGTCTCCTTTGCCCAGCTGTCGAGATGGGTTTTCTGCCTTGGCTCTGCTCCGCTCCGGGGGATGCTCAATGCCTTCAGAGCCTCACTCTCCTCATCTCCAAGATGGGCTGAGAGGCCCAGGCATGGGAGGGGCATCACAAGAGGAGCCCTGCAAATGCCTGGCCTGGGGAGCCCACCAGAGCCCAGGCGGGGCAGGGAAGGAAGGAGATGCAGGGGAGAATCCAGCCCCGGCTCCCCATCTAGAGAAGGTGGGAGAAGGGTGGTGAGATGGGCACGTCTGGGGGACCCTGCCCTGAGTTCAGGCCTCCACATGCTCTGCACACACTGTCTGCATTGACCAGACTGCAGGGTCTGTGGGCCTTCAGGAACTCTCCTTCCCAAGTAAAAACTCTCGGGAGCAGAAGGCAGAGCCAGGCTGCCGGGCCGCTTCCTGCCGGTTCTCCCTCCCTGGCGCCCTGCCCCCCTCACTGGGAGATGCAGCTTCCATGGGAGTCAGGGTCCTGAGCAAGCCTGCGGCTGAGGAGAGGAGTCGGCACCTCCATGCGGGCAGGAGCAGGGCGTCTGCCCGTTGCACGCATGTGGCTCAGGAGCACCTCTTTCCTCCTGCCATCCAGGCGCTCGCCGGTAACGGGCGCACCCAGGCGGCCCTTACCCCCGCCGTTCTTGTAGCACAAGTAGGGAAACCGCCAGACGTTGGCGAGGTCCACGGCAAAGCCGATCACAGACAGCAGGAAGTCAATCTTCTTGCCCCAGGTCTCGCGCTCGTGGGCCTCCACGGGGCTGTGGGGTGCACTGATGAGGGTGGAGTTGGTGAGCTGCACCCCGTTCTGCTCCTTGACCAGGACGAGCTCCACCTCCCGGGGCCCCATGGCGTTGGGCTCCTTGGCCGGGGCCACCACGGAGGACTTCAGCCCCACAGGACACTTGCGCTCACTCATGGCTGACAGGGTCGGGCGCTCCGGGCTTCCTCCTGTTGGTCTTCAGCCAGCGTGAAAAGCATATGCAGAAGAGCACAGGGTTAGTGCCTGCCGAGGGCAGAGACCTGGGCACTCGTCCCCCCGCACCCAGGGCGACAGCAGTGTCAGGACGGCTGGGAGGCACTGGTCTCGCCAGGGCGGGACACGCGGAGCCCCAAGCACACACGCCAGGCCGCCCTCCCCGCAACCCCTCTGTGGTTAGGTGCAGTGTGGCGCCTCCTCCAAGCGCCTCCAGCAACACTCGACGTAAGCTCCACCTGCCTCCCGCTCCCAGGAGCCAGCTCGCAGCCCTCAGACCACCAACCCATCCTGGCAACACCACAGGGCTCCTCAGTGCCACTGCTAGCCCTGATCCACCCTGACCGGCTCGACAACCCCAGGGGAGCGCGTCTGTGGGTCCCAGGTCTGCCCTTGCCTGCCCTGCCCGGACGGACTCCACCCTGCTCCAGCCACCTGGAGGAGTGCCACGCCGGCCGAGTGGCGCAGCCACGTGTCGGGGAGCCTCCGACCCTCGCTGCAGCCAGCCCCCTCCCGTCCACTGTGCAGGCTGGCTCCTCTGTCCCAGCAGCACAGAGCTGACTGCTGCAGCACCCCAGGGTTAAAACAGAGCAAAGCTGCCAGCCACAGTAGCTGAGAGCTTGAAAATGGCTGCAACAGGTTCTTCAGAGAACGTCTGCGCGGCCACTTCTGCTGGGCCTGTGTCCGGGGTCACCGCGGGCTTTGCCTGGGGACGGTGGCTGCAATACCAGGGCAGTGCTTCTCGTTGATTTCTGCAAAGCCTGGGCGGTGTGTGGGGGCGGGGAGCTGACCCGGCGGAGCCTGCGGACTCTCTGGCACCGCGCGGCTCTGGTCCGACTTTGCCTCCCCAAACAGAAACTTTTGGCAGAAGTTATTCTGTGCGCTGCCTGCTGTGCCTCTGGCTCTGGCTCGGGCCGACCAGCGGACCGCGCCGGCCCCAAGCAGCCCCTCCTGAGAGGTGCAGACGTGCGAGCGCTTGAGGCTTCGGAGCCGTGCAGGCGCGTGCGGAGCTCAAAGCCGGGCTCCCCGTGCTGAGACCCGGCCACCCGGCCCGAGGGACCCGCAGGCAGGGCTGCGCCCCGCCTGAACCCCGACCTCGCACCAGGCTTGCCCCCACGAAAGCACCTTCCCTGCCCAGCAGAGCCAGCGCCGGGGAGAGCCGCGGGCGCCAGGTCCGAGTCCTGGCAACTGGGGGCACCGAGCCCCGCCGTTCCCGACTCGACAGAGCCCGCGCCGAGGGCACCGCCCCGAGGTGGGGACGGTCGGGTCTGCGCGGGCAGCGGGTATGCGGGGGAGCCGAGGCCC